CGGTGTTTTTTCTGCAGCTGATTCGGCCATGTTTCTGTAGATCACAGCATCCCGCCAGTTTGTGGAGTATCATCAGAAGAAGTTCTGCTACGACGAGCCCAATGTCTCATTTATCCAGGGATATATGGAAAAGCTCTGCGAAGCAGGGATACAGAGAGACTCAATGGATGTTCTGATGTAGGTTAAGAGTTTAGCTTTGATCCTTTTAGACGATCAAAGCGATTTGATTGATAACGGAGGATAATCTCTTTTTTTTCCCAGCTCCAACTGTGTGATCTGCCTCTGTCCTGATAAAAGAGCAGTGCTGCAACAAGCCTACGATGTTCTGAAGGTGAGTTTAAAAAGTTACTGCATTCATGTGTGCAGCTTGACTCTGCTTTATATTTCTAACTCTTCTTCCTTTTTAACAGGTCGGAGGGGAGCTGTACTTCAGTGACATGTACGCCAGCAGTGTCGTTCCAGACCACATGAAGCAGGATCCAGTTCTGTGGGGTAAATTTAGTTATAACACTTAAGAGGAACCAAAGTGAATCGTCGCATGCAAAACTCCACTGGTGAGAATCACACTCATCGGCTGTTCCAGGTGAGGGAATGGGCGGCTCTCTGTTCTGGAAAGATCTCATCTCGCTGGCCCACAGCGTGGGCTTCAGCATGCCACGTCTGGTGTCAGCAAGCCACATCGAGGTCCACAACGTCCAACTCAAGGAAAAAGCAGGTAGTAACAGGAAACTTTGGGCAGCACCGAAACTCCTTCTAAGCTCTTCGTTTCTCAGGTGACATCAAGTATGCCTCGGGAACCTACCGGCTCTTTAAGTTGACGCAGCAACCAGGGAGGTCAGGCGCCGCTGTGATCTACAAGGGAACCATTCCCGACTTTCCAGATCAGCTGGACTTTGATTCCTTGCACTCTTTCAAGGTGAGGAAGTCAGAAAAAAAAACGAGCTGTCTTATCGATATTTACTCTAACATTTATTAACAGGATGTTAATTAGTCTCATAATAACAACGGTTGGTTTGTTTTGTCTTTTTCTGCGCAGAAAGATGTAGAAGTGGAGGTAGATGCAGAGATGACAGCAATTATCCAGGCTTCCAGATTCTCTTCGGATTTTACAGTCAGGATGTTGGATGAGCATAAGTCTGATTGTGAGCCAACACCACAGGTAACTCAGAGTATGACTTTGTTTTGGTTAAATGCTGTAAATCTATCATTCTAGGTCCACAGTGCATCAAGAAAATATGTTTTAGACTTTGTTGTCTAAATGTATAATATCATTCTTACTATCCATTTTATGACCTAACAGCATTGTGGTGGAATTTTAGCCCACAGCTTAAAGATAAACCATCATCGTTGTCGGGCCGTATTTAAAAAATTGTATTCTGTATTCATAAAAGGTGTTTTATGATTTTAAACATAATGTGACAAAAAAAAGCAGAAATATTATCCCATAAGCTGAATAATAATGTGTCCAGTTATTGATGATCTTTTTCAGTACTGTCACCTCAACCCATTCCTGCTGGCTGACCGACGGGGGTCCTCGATGAAGCAGTGCTCCAAAATGTCCAGATAAAACAAACGGGCAGCTGCAACCTGCTGAGGAGAAAACGCTACACGCGTTTAATTTCATTTGAACAATGTTAAATTCTTGAAATTTTATTTGTGCTAATAAGTACTAATATCTGTGAAGGAATGAATGAAGTTTGCTAACTGGCTACATTAATATATTGCATAGATGGGGAAAACTAAAATAAATAACATTTAGAAATTGTAACAGATTTTGTAACAGTGAGTGATCAGAGTGATACTGTGAAGAGAAAATCAGGTCTGACAGCTATCAAAAAAAATAAAGTTGCACTGCATTTAGATCTCAGTTGTAGTTCACATCAAAGCATGTGGGCGTGGCTTAGTGTAAAACTTTGACTATTCTCCATGAAACATCAAGATTAAATAACTTCCAAATGCAAGATCACAGCTGCATCATCACACTTCCTCTGTCTTTCTAGAGAACAGTCCTGAACACATTTCCATGGTGACTTCATGACATCACCTTAGCCCCGCCCACTTTTAACAGGCAGTCACATGTTTTTTCTGCTGTATATTTTACTGTTATTCTATAATTTATATGGGTTTCATCATGTGAATACTGACTAAAAACGATAACGTGATGAACTCTGTGAATGCTGGCTGCTGACCGAACCGCATTGGGGTGTAGAAATGACGAACTGCAGTCCTTCGCCATGTGCATACGATCAGCTCTAAATGACACAAGGATCATCCGACAGGCGCCAAACTGGACATGTATGACCTTTGTTGACCTCTAAAGAGCCCAACAGCATTGAAATGTAATTTGACTCCACTGTGCCTCCTAGGCCCCCTAGGTTAATACACCAGCTATATCTCCTCACTAAATCCACCAATCTGCACCACATTTTTTGTGCGTCGTCAAGGAGCGCTGCCGAACGCATCAATGCGTACTGGATAAAGCGCTAGAAGTCTGATGTCGAATGATTGTTTTCTCTATTATTTCCACTGCACCTGCGAGACCTGGATCTGGGAAAACTAGAGGAAAATTAACGAGCCAAGCGAAGTTACCCCTCTAGTTTTTAACGGGAGCAACATCCATCTGTGGGTACACCCAATGACAACATCCAAACTGTGAATCTAACTGAGGTTCCTGACAATCAACCGGCAGAAAATGTTGAAGGAGAGAATTCAACTGAAATTCAGAATTTGTCCCACTCTTCTGGAAAGACAGAAAGACAAGCAAAGTGTCCATGTCTTGCCAAATTTAAGCAGTTAGAACTGGAACATATTGAAGTACAGAAATACTTAATAAAACAGCTGGATGAGATGTTTGATATAAATCAGAAACAAAATGCTAAAATGAGACAGCAGAAAGATCTAATTAGGAAAATATACTCAGAAAGAAGACACAGGAAGAATTCAATGGTTTCTGTTCAAACTCAGACATATTCACAAGACCACTTAAAGCAGAAAAGAGTCAATTATGAATCTGCTTCAGTGCAAATGGACATGGACATGCAGGAATCCAGCTATCCAATAAAGCCAGTCCGTCAAACAACATCAACGCAAACTGAGATAAACGTGCTGGAAAACAGATGTCAATTCAAACCAGCTTATTCAACAATTTCAACACAAACTGAGTTCTTTTTATTGCTAAGAAAAGAACCCTCTGAAACACAATGGAATGGGCATCAAGATCGGCAGAACAAGCGATTTGAGAGACCAACAATTAAGAACAAGAAAGAGTCAACAATCAAAGCTTCCTCTGAAATGGAAAACCTCAGAAATGAGAAGGCTTCTGGAGCAAACAGTGAACGACAAGAAGTTTCAGTACCAGAAGAAATTGGGGATCAGAAAGCCACCATCATAAATGAGATTAGCGAAAATGAAACAGTCATCGGTAAACTTCAGCAGGCGCTCAAAGAAGAAACGGTCTCCACAAAACAACAACATGGGGACCATCAAGACGGGAAAAAGCAATCGAAGAAATCGAGATACAAGATCAGAAGGGCAGCAATGAAAGCTGCCTCTACATTGGAAAACCTCCACAATGGTAACATTTCTGGAGAACTCACTGAACATGAAGACGTTTCCAAACTAGAAACAGTCGGGGGGTTAGACAGCTATCATCAAAAAGTACATTTGTATGATTGAGACAGAGATTGCTAAAGTACACCAGATCACTGACCAAGAAACTGTCTCCACAGCACAACCAAACGGAGACCAGCAACATGAGAAAAAAACATCTAAAAAATGTAAACATAAGAGCAAAAGAAAGTTGAGAGTTGCCTCTGAATCGAAAGCTGTCACTAATGAAGACATTTCTGGAGGAAATAGTGAACAAGGAGTTTCTCTATCAGAAACAATCGGGGATCAAACAGCCACCGTAACACCTGAGATCCACACAAATGAAAAGGTCATCTGTAAACCACAGCAGGAGATTGACGAAGAAATGGTCTCCAAAACAAAACGGGCACAAGCAAGATCAGAAAAAAAACATCAAAAAGATCGAAACGTAAGATCAAGAGGAAGGCAGCCAGGAAAGCTGCCTCTGAATCTGAAAATCTCAATAATGATGCAGTTTCTGCAGAAAACCCTGAAGTAAAAAAAGTTTCTATACCAGAAACTGCTGGCAATCAGGTACCATCATAGTTGAGATTCATAAAAATGAAACGGTGATTGGTGAAGTACAACAAAATGGAGCTCAGGAAGATAAGAAAAGGCTGTCGAAATCTAAACACAAGAAAATGAGAAAGAAGGCAAGAAAAACTGTACTGGCAACCACTGTAAGTCCGATTGAGACAGATCAAAACTTGGATGAAAACACTAAGATACCTAAAACTGATTTCGAAACTATACCAGACAGACTGCAGTTGAGCAAATAGAGACAAAACCTGGCAAAGTCTCAGAAGTCGTAACAGGGAAGCTTCTTGTAGTTTCCACAGAAAGGGAAAGTGATCTCATGGAAATCCAAACAACACCTGAGGAATCAGAAATTCAAGCAGCTGAGGAGTCACCAGAGCAGAAGAATGGCTCTGAACAGAAAGAGAGACCCATGAAAAAGGTTTTTTTGTGGAAGCGCCTCAAAAAGGTTTTATCTCTACCACGTCTGTGCCGGTTCAAAGACAGATGTAGAGTCCATCCAGCGTAGACATCAATTTTGTCTCCAATATATTCAATTTAAAGGGGGGTGGGGCCACGTGTGTGTTGGGTGATTGGCGGTAATTGAAAAAAGAGCTACTGTTTTTATTAATTGGACATTTGAAGATTAAAAAGCCAGGACTGCATGGTGGGAAGTGTCTCTCCATGTAAGTGTGGGTTCACTTCGGGTGCTCCGACTTCCCACACATTCAACAAATATCTACATATCCATCAATCTGTCTTTATACATATATAAATAACTCTCGAACAAATATATATATATATATATGTTCGATATATATATATATATCCGAGAAATGACCAGAGGAGAAAATAGATTTGGTATCAGGTACTTTTTTATTAGAAGCAGAAAAATGTCACAACATTCATTTTGTTTTCAGTGAACGTCCTGACCTTAAGGAGCAGAGGAGGACCTTATGTAAATGCCAGCTGGGAAGTCAGTGAAGATTTGAATCATTTATATTTTAGGCTACATTTGATTAAAATGATCACCATAGTGAGAGAGAGATGCATATCTATTTTTGATTTTTAAAAGTAGAAAATGACCAGCACCAAAGAAACTGAACAACATTATCAGATAGAGAAAAAGAATAACAGTATGTATTTTTTCAGAATCACACTTTAAGCACCCTAAAGAGCCTCTGATGCATCCTGATAAACTGAAACCAGTTTAATTGCACTTGATTAGTCAAACAAAGCATATCACACAGTGAAGATGTCAAACACCACACAGACTATTTAACAGTGAGACACAGACTGTTACTATCCTATTAACCTCATTTTGCTAAAGTGCACCTCAGAGCGCCACAGAAAGTCCTTTCTGCCTGTTACCATCAGGCTTTACCATGTCCAAGTCCTTGCAATTTGATTCAAACTTTTTCTGCGCTCATTGGGGATCAATAAAGTATATTCTATTCTATGGTGATTACAGGGAAATTAAATCATTCACTCTACAGCATGGCTTCGTAAGAAAAGAACAACAATTTGATTAGTTTACCGCCACGCCTGTGGCTTTAAATGGACAGATCAATGTAGGCACTGTAGAGAAATACAGACAAAATGGAGATGGAGACAACATCATCGATTGCTCCTGATGACAACCAGTTACATCCCCAGCCAGCTCAGGTCTTCAGATCTGCAGACATCAGCAAGATGGTTATTACACAGAACATTAGTGTCAACATCAATTTCACTTTTATACAGACTTTAAGCCATTTAAACATGTCAAAAATAGTCTGTTGTTTCCCTTAAGATTGAACAACTTCCCAAATAAATTTAACCTGTCTTCTTCTCTTTTAAAGTTAAATATTTCCTTTGTTTTCTCAAAAAACTACAGCTTAGGCGAGTGGTGTCCAAACAAATTATCTAGTCAAAAATACCTGCTTTGATGCTTTAGTTGTCATTACTTCACACATGACTATTCAAGAGTCTCTGCTAACTGTTCCATTACTGATTCAGTCAGAAACTATTTCGTCTGAATATTTGAATAGGTATTTAAAAAAAGTTGGCGTTGCTCCTAATTTTTCTCATGTAAAATTCTATCTTTGCAAGGAGATATTTTATTTCAAAACTTTCAACATATTTATTTACTGCGTGGCGTGCGCTCTAGTTTGTATGGATGCAAACTGTGACTCACTGAGCCTGAGTCTTTGTTATGGCTCTGCCTTGATCCAGCAGGTCTGCAACACGAGACACGGCAGGCTCGAACGCCATGCTGGCCGCAGCAACCACCACCTCGTCCCTGTCAGATACACAAACAGGAGAAACGTCAACCAGGATCAGAGCAGATTTATCCCCAACTGCACAAAGAGTCACTCCACCACTGCTCACTTTATGTATAAGGCCACAAATTTCTGTTCTTCCAGTTTTCCTTTAATTATGATTTCTGTGTAGCCCTCACCATAACCTGAAAAGAACAAATAAGAGTGAAATGGAGATTAAATTCATCTTATTGTGGACTAAAAAAGGTTAGTTCACTTTTTTTAGGCTTGAAAAGGTGAACTATTTAACAAATACTCCACCTGCGTATCTGATGCTCTTCCCAGCCAGTGCAGACCAGAAAAAGGGAACTGACTCAATTGTTGTTGGTTTATTCAGCATGTTCAGAGCTGCAACTCTTCCTGGTGGTAGAAACAAAACTAAGAGTTCATGACAAAGTAAAAACATGTGCAGTAAAAACATAGCTTAAAAAGATGAAGGAAAGGTAAATATTTTGTACATATGAAAGCGTTTAACCGTGAGCGTGGGACATCTGCCAGTGACCGATATTGACCCGCTGGTCCCCACGAATGGTCAGAGGGAAGGAGGCGACGTCTCCAGCACTGAAGACATCTGCTACATTGGTCCTCATGAACTAGGAGAATAGATGAAGCAGATAATGACTCCAGTGTGTCACCTTCACTACAGTCAAACGATCTCTGAAGATCAAAAATAAAACCTGAACTGCTTTCATGTCAAGTAAAATTATTACTGGGTGCTGTCAACTAAGAGCGAGCCTTCTGCACCATAATTTGACCTGTTGCATAGAAAATCAACATTTGACTCTCCTGCAAAACCCATTTTTTTCACTTTTCCCCACATTTATAATGTTTTTGTTCATGTAAGTGATGCCTTGGTTAGTTTGTCTGTTTGGCTTAACCATTGAACCATTTTAACTGCGTCACGATTGCATCACAAAGACAAATTTAGCTCAACAACTTTAGGTGCCAGCTGAATCACGCAAGGGTTCTTCTATCGATATCTCTTTCTTTGGAACTAGATTTAGGAAAGTTTCTGGTTTTTTTAGTGTTTGATTTTTTTTTTAAATCTATTTTTCCATCACAAAGATCTCAGTTTGCCCGATGCTCTCCTGTATTTTTAATGTTACCTTGTCAACAATAACTGCTTTTCTTGAATCCACTGCCACATTACTTCCTGTTAGAAAGTCTGAATTGGGAATTGCACCTGGAACATAAAATGAAAGAGATTGATTAAATTTATTGCCCTTCCTTTTTAAATACATTCATGTATTATCACAAGGTTATGCAATAAAATAAAAAAATAATTACCAATTCCTGCAACTACCACATCAGCTTCCAAGACAGTACCATCAGCCAGCATCACCTCCTTCACCTAAAAAAGGCATACAATACATTTCAGAGGTTATGCAAGAATTTAGAAGGGGACTTTCTGTTTTTACTGAGTTATTACATTCTTTACTAAAGAAATGAAGGTAGGGGTGAAGTGATACATAAAAATTATATATATGCTCTGTATATATGTTGGTTTTAAAGTCAGACTTCTGTACATTTTTGCAAAATAACAATCGTAGAAATAGAAAAAAAGACATGCGTCTGTTTTTCAGTAGTGATCAAACAACTAGTGATTAAACTACTATGATAGTTAGATTTTATCAGAATTTCACAAAGTAGTCAGTGGAGCCTTAGTTACCAGGTTTACCTGAATGCATCATAAAAAGGGTAATTAAATTACCCTTTTAATAGTTAAACTTATTCTGCACTAGTGATGATTAAATTCTGTTCGTCATAGTTCAAAGTTGGTCATTAAGTATTTCTGTACTACATTTCTTATCACTGTTGAAAAGTCCTGAATGAATGCCCCCAAATAAAAAGAATTTATTTCAAAGTTTTTACAAATCTTTGTTATGGGAACCAATACGTGGAAAAAAGAAAAACAACATATATATATGTTATATATATGAGGTTATTAGATCTGGGAAACAATAAAAACTGAGTTACCTTTCCAGTCTCCCCTCTGATCTCTGTCACTTTGTTGTTCATGAAGAACTTCACTTTTTTTCCCTCCAACATCTTACAGTAAGAAAACAACAAAGAAAAATCAAGCTGATGAGATAAATAAAAAAGTTTAAAAAATAAAGAAAAAAGAAAGCATTTAGCAATTAAAATTAGTTTTCAGCTCCTCTTCACCTGCATGGTCATCTTGCCAATCTCGGGCCCCAGAGACTTCTGGAAAGGATACTTGGTGGGACCCACTAGAGCCACGCTGGCAGCTTTGTCCGACAGGTAGGAAGCTACCTCCATGCCTGTTTTACACATAAAAACAATCCAGGCATCTGCACATTTACTGTGGAGGACACCTGCTTACATATGAGAAAAGCTATCATCATAACTGAATAAACTAGTGGTTAAAGTCTCAATAATAACCTATGAAGGAAGCTCCAATTACAACAGCTCTCTTGCCGAGAGATGATGCGTGAATCTCTTTGGCGTCTGCATAACTCTGCAGCAGATGTACCCCCTTCAAATCTGATCCAGGACACTGGAGAGGGCACGCTCTGCAGACATTAAAAATACTCTAATTCATGTTCATTTTCCGATTTTTGTTTTTGAGAGCACCAAGAATTTGCTTTCAGGATGCCGAGACTCACCTGCAGCCTGTTGAGATGAGGAGCTGATCATAACGCTGCGAGGTGCCGTTGCTCAGCTGCACTACTTTATCGGCCGAGTTCACAGAGATCACCTGCAACACGGGGCGAGTGAAAACAGCTCAATCTAACATGCCAGCAAGTCATATGCATTGAAGCTGGTCGGTTCTGGCTCTCACCTCTTTCCCCGTCCACATTTCTATCCCGTGTTGTAGATAGAACTCATGCTGCCGCAGCAGGATGCTGCTGCTCTCCACATTCATAGCCTTGATACAACGAAAACAAATAGAAAATGCTTTTTTTTTTTAAGTGACAGTGACATTAAGTTCAAGGGAGCTTTTGGATGAAGTTTCTCACTTTGCTTAGCTTGGGTTTGTCAAACGGAGGGAGGTTATCTTTGGTAACGATGATGATGCGACCCTCATAGCAGTTCTGACGAAGCGTCTCGGCACACACCAGCGAGGCAGGGCCTGAAATATATCAAATTGGTGCTCGAGATGCGACATGTTCCAAACTTTTAAAACTGTCTGCGTACCGGTTGCTAATTTAGGAACAGTTGACCAAACTTACCTCCTCCCACAAGCAGAATGGTGTGTTTGACATCGGGCTTAACAGTGCACATCTCCTTCATCCTCTTGGTCAACTTCAAAGACTGAGGGCAACAAATTATAAATGATTCAACAGTAAATAAAAGTACATTGTATACATTTGAGGTCACTTATGTGGCTTACCTTTTTGTCAATAGAAACATAAACATTGCCGTCTTGGACCTTCACCTGTCAAATTAACAAACAAGTAATTTGAATGAAAGAGCCAATTCATGTTTTAAAATACCAACACCTGCAAATAGAGCAACTATTTTTAGAGAGTTGGGAAGCAGCATGAACTATCGGTACAGTTCCATGTAGACGGACACTTGAAATTTTCTACTTCTGAGTGAAACATCAAACATGTTTTACTTTAATATTATCTGTATTTTTAATTCTAAAATGCCCCGAACAATTTTTTTACTTTTGTTATTTTCCTATCACACTCAGTTGTTTTAATGGTCAAACTCATTTAATGTCAGTCACAGATAAAATCAAGAAATATGAAAGCAGATTTCAAATGATGCTTTTATTTATCGAGAGAAAAAGTTAATCCAAACCAACTTGCTGTTATGTGAAAGAGAAATGTCTGTTAGAGCTTTTTTTTTTGGTCATTACAAAAAAGCTCTATCAGAGCTTTTTTTATTATTATTATTCAATTTTAATTATTATTATTATTCAATTTTACTAGACATGCCCTGGTCTGATTACTGTTTATAGATTAAACAAAAAAAATGCTTAAATAGAATCTGTCTGACTATACAAAGTAGGCTAAATTATCTTTTTTTTTAAGTCCTGATGTAAAGAAATTCAAGAACAGATGGATGGATTAACTGAAATTCATCTTTCTGAAAATTCTAACAAAGTCATTACTGAGGCTTTTTTTAAAACTGACTTTTACTTAACATATATTTTTTTAAAGGGGACTCAGTTTGCAATTAAATGGTGTTTTAATATTGTTTTACCTTGTATGTTGGCAGACAGTCCAGGCCTGGATAGTCCTCGATGTCTCCTGTTTTCACATTGAAACAGGCTCCATGAATAGGACACCTCACTCTGTCTCCAACCAGCGTTCCTGGGAGGTTAATAATCACAATTTGGTCACATTTGTGTAGATTGAAAATACTAACTGCCAACCTCTGAAATGTAATGTAATAGTCTAAAAATAAACTGATTTACCCATAATAAGCGGGGCATTGTAGTGGGTACACCTGCCTCCAACTGCGCTGTACTGACCCTTCGTACGGACCAACAGCACCTTCTGGTCCTCTACAGTTACCTGCTTCATCCTGCAAAAACACAAAATATGCAAAAAACAAAAAAAAGACAGTTGAGACATGTTTTTGGTCATTGAAATACATAATATGGTCTAAAATCTTTATCCTTCAGTGAATGGCAAGTTGTTACTCACTGTCCATCATGCAGATCAGACTCCTGACAAACCAGTATGGTCAGGTCCTCCTGCCTTTCACTTTGCCCTTGTCCTTGGTTCATGTCCACTCCTTCATGTTCACATGCAAACAAGGCCATTGTTACAGCAGTTGCACATGATTAATAATAGCTCTAGATCTAGAAGAACATCTTTCAAGTCTCATTCTTATGTTTAGTCTACATAGACCTAACATTGGACTCAATTTACTTGATTTATTTGTTGCAAAACATTGTTTTCAACTTGCATTGTTTTTTCAGATTCTTTGGACAGCAATGGCGCATGCCTGGCTTACGATAAATCGTGTAACGTGTTGCATTCAATGTTGTCGGTTAAAAGAGATTCGTGCGTTAACTATTTATTAAATTCATTGTCGCCAGCTGGAGTGGCAAAGTTCTCAGTGCCCCCAGTAGATCCGCCCCTGATGACTCTTATACACACATGCCTGGATGAAACACGCTCAGTCATGCAAATTATTAAGCAAACACTCCTATTGCTGCAGCAGTAGTGATACAGATGATTTATGGAGGACCCTTATACACACTGGTAGGGAACATGCAGCAAAAAAAAAAAAAAAAAAAAAATGCTTGCTTCAATTAGTTCATGCTTACAACTGTTCAGCGGTGTCTACTTTACGTTTTTCAAAAATAACAAAATACGTCACTGCTCATGATGGATTTATTCCACGTTGCACCTGTTATTATGTCTGCTGTCCAGTGTCAACCCTTTAACTCATTTCATTCACCTTGTAGCATCTCAAACTTATTTTAACATAGAGGCGACATGTAGTCATTTGAGAACTACCAAAAACAATTTCTTGGAGCATTTTTAATGATGGATAAGTAACAAATAAAAAGAAAATCTTGAGCAGATGATCAAACCTATAATACTAACAGTAAATCAATGTCAATGCCTGAAATCTGAGCGTCAGCTGCAACTAATATGCTTGACAGCTCAACGTTATTACCAAAGTTATCGTACTGTTTCCCAGCAATTACCAAAATGAGAACTTGCTTACGATATTCCGTTCATAAATTAGGACAAGCACAGTGCCGCAGCCGTCGCAGACATTAACCTGCTTTGGGACCTACCTGGGTTGTTTCACCAGACCGCGGTCAGAATTGAAGTGGCCGCTTCCTGCCCGCCTATATCACCTTTTTCCCAGCCCGCATGACGCTCAGCAGAAACAACCAGCGGGTTCCTCCCGGGCTGCGCTCCATTCACGCGTCGGCGAAAACGGCGTCGCAGGAGACGACGTTGGAACGGCGTCTCCGGAAGTTGTTTCCCCGGCAACGGCTGAGTCGTTGCGATGCCAACAGCGTTAGAATGAGTTACACGCATATTTCAGTTAAAACGTGACTGGTTGGAGATGAACGCTTGGAGAACTCAAACATGAAATGGTTTACGACGTATTTCATATTGAAACCAACTTTCGCCCCATCAAAGAGGACTTCGGTCCTTTTCATGATTTAAGACCAGGAGCGTTTTCGTGTAGCATTTTAAAAACATGCTACACGAACGTTTCTTTTCCAGTGGATGACACTTCTGTTGCGTTATCAATAATCATTTAAAACTGAATGTCAATCTCTTCCAGTAACACCTCCCTCACCGATCTCTTTTCCTACGGTCGTACGAAGGCTTTGATATGGAGCAGACACACTCAGGAAGGAATGAAGCTATTCAACACGCATGCGCTAACACTCTTGCGGCCACATTTCTGACAATATTAAGACAATATGAAACACCTACATATTTAAAATCAGTCATAACTATGCATGAGAGATAATTACTTAATAATTATCTGAGAATAATAATATTATAATAATAAAAATATAATAATAATATTATAGTAATATAATAATAATAATAATAATAATAATAATAATAATAATAATAATATAATAATAAGAAAACTAATAATAATAATAAATATAACACAATACAAGCAGAATGTAAGACACGGACAAGGAAATTATTGCTACTTCAAAAGATGACGTACAAAAATCTAATATAAATGTATATAAAATCAAGTTATAATAATAACCTGTTTGCAATGCTTCGCTTTTCTTGGCCAAAAGGTGTCGCTATATCTCCAAAAACCACAGCTATCATTCACGTCCACTTTATTGAATGAAAAGGGCGCCGAAGGAAGACGCGGTGAAACATCTCCGAGGTTCAGCCTTCAGTCAATCAGTCCAGGCGTAGAATGAATTGTGGCCATAAAACACAGCAGTGTTTGTCCTGGGTGGTTTAGAGTCACCCATAAATGCCTAATTTTTCACATAACTCCACGGAGCCTGAACACACGAGGTTGGTTGCGTTTAAGAGCTCTATGTAAATTACACCTTCTAGTAGGAAATCTTTCCTAATGTTTTCTGGTTTATTATTTTGAATAAAAACCAAGTTTTTTATTCAAAATAATCAAACACTGGCCCTATTATTATTATTATTATTATTATTATTATTATTATTATTATTATTATTATTAGTGATCTTTTCCATAGATCAACATCAGCCTGTCTCATTCTATGACACTTGTTGACCAAAGAAAATAAGGAAAATAACAGCCATTTAAGGCTGGGAGAAGAGATATCACATTATTTTTCTTATTTTGGACAATCATTGTGCCGACTTGTACTTGTCAACTACAGGGTTTGGTGGAAACTAAAAATGTATTTCATTTTTTATTTAATTTTTTCCCCCAACTTGGTAGTGCTTGTGTAATTGACACGCGTTGCTTCCCACTGTAAGTGAACGCGTCACAATACGTGAACCTCGGCCGTAGCCACGCCCCTTCATAGTAGGGCGGGGCGACTGCTCGGTTTCTGTTGATGTCAAAAAGTTACACAAGCCGAGGAGGGAGAGGTTTCACAACTGTCAACAGGGCTTCACACCTTCACCCGCCGGTTCCACCTGAGAGCAGGGAGCGCTTCTTCAGAGCAACACCAGCTGGCAGAGCCACCAGCGGGGGGTCGTTTTTATCTCACCCTCTTTTTTTTAGTCTCTTTTCACCGTCACCGTGTGATTTATGCGACCCTCCGCCTAATGCTCTTGGAGACCACTGAATGCTAGGCAACGAGAGGCATGTCAACGTGATCTCCTCGACTCCGGGTCTCCAAAACATCTGTCCGTGTCGTCCGTCCGTCTGGCCCGTGGATCCGTGGTTGGCTCCCCGCCGCCTTCCCGCCGCTCTCTCTCACCCACCGAGGACCGCCGTGGCCCTGTTGGATCGTCACCATCTCGCAGCATCTCAGCCATGGAGCTCGGCTCTGTGATCGTAACCACCGGGAGCTCGGTGGCCCTGTTCAAGCTGGTGAACGCGGGGATCGGCAGGCTTCACATCCCGGAGTCAGCCAGCAGGAATTCGTGGAAATGGAGAAATATCTCCACATCGTTCGTGCACAGCTTCATCACGGCGGTCTGGGCCGTGCTTTGGTAAGTTTTTTTTCCAGCTGGCGTTGGGGAGCTCGCAACAGTTTGGCATCTCTGCATTCAGTCGCTCAGTCAGATTTGCGGCTCCAGCTATTCCCGTTATTCCACCGAAAGAGACTGACGTGCCGCAGAAGGCATTTCATGCACGCACGGCACAGAAATATTTGGTTTCCCCAAGTTCTCTCAGTTCGCGCTTATTGGAGCCTTTTCGTTTTGTCGTTTCAGCTTCTTCCGACATCCACAGATGGCTGAGGATCTGATAGAAACCCACTCTGTGTTTTCACATTCTTTGGTGTCCCTTTCTATTGGTGAGTAGCTTCTTAAATGTGATTAAATGCAGTTATGGCGGGAGGTGCATGCTTACCCTTCTCCCATTGCAAAGCAAGGTGGGTGGAGCACTCAGAAGTTTGAACATATCTTCAGTCAAGTAAAAGTACAACTCAAGTGGGACGAGTAACAAAAAAAAGGTACAAATGCATAAAATAATTTCATAATAACAAACTGGCAGAATAAATGGTTTCCAAATCCGTTTTTTCAACTCAGATGTAATTAAACCAATGAACATGTGCAGAGATTCTGCTAGTAAAATAAATAGTGTGCAACATATTCAGTGTAAGGAGAAGGAAAATAGCGCTAAATGATGAAGACGTCTTATTTAAACATAAATCATAGGCGTGTGTCTGGTGCATTTTAGGGTACAAGCCTGGGCTTCCCTCAAGAACAAATGTCATTAAAAGTTACTTTCCCTGGTTAGTCAGAAATATTACTCAAGTAAAACTCAAAAGTAAGGTATAGTAAAACTACCCCTAAAACCTTTTTTTTAATGTTTTTTTTTTTTAAAGACAAGGTGTAGCAGGTCTGCCGCCTGCTACACCTGGACTCCTCGGGGCAGATGCCGGATGACACAGCTGTTAACGCATTCATCTTTTTGAGAGGTTGATGAAGGGATGGATTGCTTGTCGACTAACAGAAGTGTCTTTTTGATAAGTGATTCATTGAAGAGCGAACCATCTTCAGAAGCAAGTCTTCTGAAAAGTATTGCTTCTGAAGATGGTCAGATAAAAGAAGTGGGTGAGGAGTTGAAAAGGTTTTGTCTCCCAGGAGAGACAAAGCTTTATTCTCCTTCAATCATCTATTGAAAGAGAATATTGTATTCTTAGCAGCAGTGGTGCAGTTAATGTATTAAGAGTTCACGGAAAGGATGTTTTTTTTTTCTTGTTTATTTTCTTGTCAGATGAGGAAAAAACAACCTTTTGGCATAGCTTCACAATTAAACCAAACAGTGTCTTGAAGGTTTGCTTTAAGCAAACCTTGTCCACAGCAAAACATAGTGGTGGCACCATCATGCTGTGGGGATGTAGCAAAAAGAGCTTCTGTTTTCCTACTTTGTGTTGGTCTACGACATAAAATCCCATTTAACAAACATTAAGGTTTGTGTTTGAAGGGGGAAATGTGCTGCACACTATGAGACAATCATTGTTTTTGATGCGTCATGAAAGCAACTTCTAAATGAACTATGCATCTGTAACGAGGAATAAGCTCTCTAAGCATAAAAACCCTTGCAGTCCATCTGGGACATGTAGTGAGCAGTCTTCAAAAGAAAACTCTCAATGGTAATCATGCAGATTGTCTTTTTGATAACTCTCTTTCACGCCATTTCCCCCCCAAAACTTCCCTGGTTGTTTTCAATAGTTGTTTTCAATAGTGAATATTACAGCCTGTTCTCAAACTTTTATGCAGTTAAATTTTTCCTAAGTCTATTCAAATTACTCAAACCTCAGAGCGCATGTTCAACCTTTTCCTAAAACAACTTGCCCTGTTTTTTTTTTCTTTCTCTCAGTATTATTTATAATCATCTAAGAGCAAATTTTTCCCCCCCTCTTTTCCTCTGAAAACAAACAATTGTTTGGAGGATTCATTTTGTACATAAAGGGCTCTTGAAGACTCTCCAGCCCTGCGTTACAAGGAGCAAAAATATTGTGTTGGTATGTGAAGCTCAGTGACGGCCATTACGATCTGTCCCAGGCAACAGGCGTAAACACTTACACTCGTGATGTCACCGTGCGTCGGGACACAAAAAGTCAGTCCAACAATGCAGGCTGTCTGCATCACAGATCGGTCGTAACACAATAGAGCTGCTTTTCTTGGCTCTTCCCATCAGAAAAGTGGCGTAATCCTGAAACCTCTATTTTATTTTATCTTTTTTTTTTTTTACATATTTGCTTTTGGAGAGTGGGGACTTTGTCCAATACTTGGGACAAAATGTCCCAACCCTTGTTGATTTTTCAATATGTACAGGAAGTGGAAAGGCAGAGGTCAAGAGATTTTCTGGCCGGTTACCGGTCAACAATATCCCTTGAATCTCTGACTTGCTGATTCCTGTTTGGCTGATTCCAGTTTCCCTTTAAAAACTACAATTGGCGACAAGCTTTGCATCAAATTTCTTCTTAAAATTTTTAGTAAAACATTTATTTCTTCAAAAACAGTCTAAAAGTTTCAGAGCTGCCTCTCTCTGGACAATAGAAAAGTATCTATAGATGGTTTGATTTTTATTCTCCATCCATTGATCAGGATCCATCAATCATCTCTTTTACTAATTTATGAATGCATTGAAAAACTAAATAACACCAATAAATTAAATCATATCATAAATTAATAATATTAATTTATTACCTTCGACTGATAAATTAATATTTAACAAATAAGAAAAGTGATAAATTAATTTATGTAGATAAATATAATAAAACTCAAATCTGCCTTTTATTTAATTGTTGTTGTTTTTTAACTTTTATCTTGCTGCTCATTTTTATTGTGATCCTAATCCCGCTTTTTATCAATAAATCCTTTTGAAATATGAGGATATTTATTTGAGACACATCGCCACATTTCTTTTCAGTTAATAATAAGCAACCTGCAGCCAGTAGATATTAATTGGAATTAGTATTTTTTTCCCAATTAATACATATTACTTGGAATAGATTTCCAGTTAATATTGAAACCAATAAGAAATAGTTTGGTACCATTTCTTATTGGTGTCAAACCAGTAAGAAATGGTGCCTGATTTGTTCAAACAGGCTGATCTGATTTTCTCTCTTTTTTTTTTTTTGTTTGTTTGAGTCGAGAGAGAAAAACAAGCCAAACTAACACATTACAACCTGGATACTGTGCAAAATTTATGCCAGCAGAATCACATGGTGCGCATGGATGTAATTTTTTAAATGGTCTAAGTTAAAGTACATGTGATGCAGTAAAAAGGCAACTTTATTCATACTTGGAGAAACAGAAAAACATTGGTTGCACAGTCGGTGAAAGGCTGATGTCCCAATCGGATTTCCCCGTCATTCCAGCAGTCATCATACGAGTCATTTATCTGCCTGAACCCATGTGGTTTTGACTAACCTATTTAAGGAAGAAAAGCCCCGATTATGTGCACATGGTTCTTGTGTAAATATGTTGACCACCATAGAAATCTCACGTGTCATGAAAAGAAAAAAGGAGCCGCTTCGTTTATCTATATCACTCCAGCTTTTCTGTTACACGCAGGGTTGGCCTGTACACAGGCTGTAGTTTGGCTTCAATCCCAGATCGCACAAAAACAAATATTCACCTATGAGAAGACAAAATTGATGTCTGTTTTTCTATTTCACTTGTAAGTAGCCACACCTGCATGCTCTGTTTAAATATGGGTCACTTAAAAAAAAAAATAAGTGAAAGACTGTTATGACATGTGGGTATGATGATCATGCACAAAATTCTTTTATAATGTAATATTTCTAACTTTGAGTCATTGTCAGCTGTGGATATTTTTAGGAACAAGGTTTCATTCTCAATTAAACTCCAAGTGTTAAATTCCATGATGAAATTCAAAATCGGTGCAGGGGCTTAAAAATCATGTTTTCCTGAAGTTAAATAGAAATAAATACTGTTTAAATTGAGCTCTATCGACAAAGTAAATGTAAAAAAATATTTACTGTCCTATCTTTGAAAAGTAATGTAACCCTAACTTCAGCCTGTTCATTAGCCAAACGTCCTAGATACTGAGCCAGAAGGCACTCTAACTCTTTTAGCTTCTTGCTAACTTGGGTTGCGTTCACACTGCAGCTCGAAGTCACCCAATTCCGATGTATTTTTTTTTTGCCATGACCGTTCACACTTCCAAACATATGCAACCTACATGTGTTCTGCAGTGTGAACGGGCAAACGACCTAAAAGTGTCCCGCATGCGCAGTAGAGGGCGTAATAACGTCGGTGTTCCGTGTTCTGTCAACCGCCATAAAAAGAAGAAGTGCTCAGTGTTTGTGGAAGTAAACATGGAGGCTAACGGTGTAGCACAGCGTACATATTTAAAGTTGTCGTCTGGCCAGATCAGCGCGTTAAGCCTAGACGTTAGGCCCCATGTGAATCGGATACGTATCGGATTTGGTTTGGATTAAAAAAGAATCCCACCTGTGCTGTTCAGACAGCAATGAAAAGAACAGATATAGTTTGCATTATGCCAAAAACAAAATAAAAAATTGGAATTGGGTCACTTCAGGCTGCAGTGTGAACATAGCCTTGGTTTCCAAACAGGGTTACCTCAAGCTGTTGCTATGCATGTGGCCGTATTGGAAAAACAGTGTTTCATGGTTCGTAATGTAAAAAAATTAGGTTTTTTGTGGAAAATCAAGTCCTTTTACAACTTTGAAGTAGATGTTTTTGTATTTCATAGTACAGGTAAGCAGGACTCGTCATTGAAGCTACAGTGCTTCTATAATTATCTTGCGTCTCACTGGAAGAAATTTAAGCCAAAGGTTGTTTTAGTGGTTTTAAAAGCATGCATTTTTAATACAATGGCATACATTGGACATTGGACACTCTTTAACTGTTGTCCAAAGGTAGCAGAAACATGTGACCTCTGTGGCATCAGATGGCTGTGTTGTCTTTTCTTGGGTTTTTCTCGCAATCTTTGTGGCCACCTCACGCTTAAATTGTCAAATTTCCCCTATCACCAAAGCCTTGAGTCCCTTCATTCCTCCCTGTCCCTCCAAACACCAATTTCTCTTTTTTCTTTGCCCCGGTATTCGTAAAAGCGGTCTCCATGGATACAGTTGGCGAGAAGCGGGTGGTGGATATGAATAGCCTCTCTCTAGGAAGTCTCCTGGTTGCCATCGCTGCCGTCATGAAAGCAGCCCCCCCTTAACAGCCTCCCAATGCACTCGATTAGCTCCAGGCTGCCTGCGTCAAAACAACTTGTGTTTTTGGTTTTCTTTGGTGGTGTTAACGTTGGCCGAACTTTCTCTGTCCCAACAGGTTACTTCATCTATGACTTCCTTGACATGGTGTGCAACCAGAAGCTGAGTGAATCCTGGGAGCTTCTCTTCCACCACGTCGTGGTAGGTCTCTCAGCCATTGAGAAATAACTTGGGATGAAATGCCTGATGGTGTTGCAATGTATTATTCACTGGCCACCCTTATTGTTTCAACATTGTGCAATTACCCATTGTGTAAATTAGATAATGCCGCTCTTGACAGAAGTAGTTATAAAATAAAACAAACAATATTCTAGGAGCAAAAAGGCAGTCTCGCCGCAGTGTGACCAACCGGCCCTCAATCCATTCAGTCTCTTTTCACACACTCAACATTAAACTCCACCCAGCCTCGCCCAGTTTTTGCCGTTGCTCTAACCACTCTTTAGTTATCAGATTCCAGAGAAAGTCAGCCGCTTTTGTCACATGGTGGTTCCTCAGCACGCTGCCATGTTGACATTTTAGATACTTTCCTGGTGGAGGAATTGGGTTACACTGAGGAAAATAACTGTGGAAATTACCTAAGGCGAGGAGTTTGTGTGAATTTACTTTTCCACCTTTTGGTTTTGTGACCTACATCCAAGGCCATGCCGATCTTGATTCTGCTGTTGCTGTGCTGCTATCGCCACTCAAAAACGTTTTTCATTCCTTCCTTCCTTGTGTCTGTGGTTTACTGCCTCGTCCCCTTCTTTCCTTGTATCCTCACCCATTTCGTTCCTTTCCTGCCTTACTCGTGTCTGCATCCTTCTGACTGAACTTTCTGCCTTCATTCGCTCCATCCCTTTTTTGCATCTTTTGTTCTGCTCCTCTTCTTTAATCTGTCCTCCTTTCTTCCCTACTTGTTGCTTGGACCCAATAGTGAGTTAATAAAACACCAAAACTGCAACATGACGAGTCTCATTTGGTGAACAATGATTTGGTTTTTCTACTCTACATATTGACATTCACTGTATCAAAAGATGCATAATCATGTCTGACATTTAATAAGACTAAGTTCATGTTCTAGATCAGCTAAGAATAGCAAATTTATTACCATTTCCTAAAAGCCACAAAAACATAACTTTTTCCAAAGTCAGAAGTTTACATACAGTGAGAATAATGTGACTCTAAGCAGTTTGATGAGGTTCATTGGTCATCGGTTTGTAAACTTTGAATTTGAGTGAAATGGAGGAATGGAATTTATTTTTTTTTGAGCAAATCCTCAAACACGTTACTTCCTTGTATTTCATTAAGGAAGAATCAAAAGAAATCAGCCAAGATATCAGGAAGAGAAGGTTAGTTTACGCGTAAATACACGCATCTCTGACTTTGGTGCAAGTATGAAGATGGGAATCTCTGACCAGTTCAGGTAGGAGGACAGTTTGGTGTGAAATCTGAAGCTTCCTGCCATTAAAATGTATGTGTTATAAGTTTCAGCTTATCAATCAATCTGAGGCCTGAAAAAAACTCCGCTGGTGAAGTTGAGTGTGGTTTGTTGTCTTTAAGAAGCGAACCATGTGTTTGTTTGGAAAACTGGCCCCAGCAGTGCCCTTGTAAAATTGACAGATTCACAGAGACGATTGCTTTTCTCTGGAAGTCTGGATTCTCCTCGCCTCGACTTCCGGGGAGACTTGTGAATGGGCTTTTTTGGCGCGGCCAGCTGGCTTCAGATTGTCGTTAGAGCGTGGGAGGGATGGAGACCCGTCCCTCATTGCTCTGTGGGCTTCTCAGAGAGCTCCCTCTGTCTCTCTTTGCCCTCTTTGTTACCCTTTTGTACCATCTCTCATTCATGCTTTCTTGCAAGGTCAACTGCTGGATCTCAGTGTGGACGCATTTCCATGAATGTCGTGCATGTCTAGATGTAGATGGACTTCGTTTTTCTATGCTTTAAAAACAAAAATTCTTTTGCTTTGCATTCATTTGTTATACATTTGGTAAGTTACTCCCAAACCTTCCCTTAGTGTTAATTTCCAGTAGTTCACACCAAAACAAATTAAAAACCAGCTTGTCATGCAGTCAGCAGCGAAGCTGACCTGGAAAATTTGGTGGTGAAAGAAAAATGTTAGGACCTGTGTCAGCACTGTGGATTTTTCTTTTTTTTTTTTTTAAATAAATATATAAACAATCAGCACAAGCTGCAAAGGTTTGCTCCCACTTCTGTTTCACACTGTTGGAACATTGTGTCCTATTGAGGATTTATTAAACTGCTGCTGCATTTTAAAGGCAGCAGCCGTAGAACCTTAAAGCTTCGGCTGACTCCTGCTCATGGCCACTCCCTGTGTGAACCGGGTCATGTAACCGTAATCCCGTAATGTGTGTTGTCGCCCTTTAAACTCCCTGTTTACGTTGTTTGCCGTAATTTGCATGGAACGATGGCTGTGCTGAATCTTCATGTCTGAAATCTCCTCAGAGTTTGGCTTGTTTTACAAGCAAACACTGAACCAGCATGTGGTCTGAGGCGAGATTTGCTGATCGCTGTTATTGCAGTCCAGGAGAAATAACAGTCGAATATTCCATGGAAAGTTTTTTTTTCTTCTTCTTCTTCCTCAGCTCCTGTGTAGCATAACACTGTGCTTCATGTAGAAAGCAGGAAGACCTGGAAACAGAAATAGAGTTTCTTCTTGCGGTCTTACCTCCCATATTGGAAAACATATGTTGAGGTCGGGGAGCTTTTCTTTAAATAATGTATGTCTTGGAAAAATTTAATTTGTAGCAAACAAATCAGACTCTCATGGTTCATAGAGTAACAAAATTAAGTTTAGGATTAAAAAAATCTATAGGCAATATAAATAAAGCCAACAGAAGTTGCAATAAACCCACAAAATGCTTCCTGCTATAAAGTGATGATACTTGTAAAATAAAGACTTGAAACAATAAAGCTGATTCATTCAGAATGCAGTGCCAAAACACAAGCGTTAATATATTTTAAAATATATTTTTAACTTAAATGACTAATTCAAAATATATTGAGAACATTGTGAAATAGATATAAACACCATGTTTTGATGTATTTTCTTGTACGTCTTTACCAGCTTTGCACATCTGGAGCCTAAAATGTTTTCCATTTTTCTTTAGAAGACATTTCCAGGTTTAGTCAGCTGGATGGTGAGTCTCAGTTAGTGCAAGTTTTAAATGTTTACCTCAGATTTCAGGAATGAATTTGAATCTTTGCTTTGATTGGGCCATCACGACCCAATTAACATTTGAGTGCATCAAAACTTTTTGTCAAGTGGGCCAAAATGATCAAGTCAAGAGTATTTGTAAGCCAAACAATAAAATCAAAAAGTATTTATTGATTTCTCCCTTTTTAACAAAACATGATGTATTTGAGTTAGAAAGATAGATTCTTGAACAGATTTGGATGCACTCAGGTCATACAAGACCTGTGGAAAACTTTATACGATTTTTGTTCAACCTGTACTTTCTTTTGGTTTATCGCATACAATCCCATTTAAGCACAGAAATGTTTGGGGTGGAAACATGGCCTCGTGGTACAGTGGGTAAAAAATGGCACAGAGTTTCCTCCTGTTAATACTGAGCTTGTAAATAAAACAAAAATGTAGGAAGAGCGATTCCATGAAGAGGCCAATTACAGAGAAGAGGGAAGCATGTGAGTAACAGCAGCTATATCTAATTTTCCTATTTTTGAAAACTCGAATCATGTAGAAACGGCACAAATCGGTTTTGTCCCTCTGCTCTCTGTTTTTCTGCTTACAGGCAACAATTGGACATTTCACAGCAACATCCATATTGCTGTGAAATATGGATGTTGAATACATGACATAACTGTGTTATAACATGTATGTGTTGCTAAAGCAGTAAAATCTGGACTCTGGGTTAATTAGGTCAGTGGCTTCTCATGCCTGTCTCATCTACTCCGAAGCTAAAGCAGTTTACAAGCTGTTCGTTACTGATTACTGGTCTTCTAATACTTCAACTTAATTTAGAATTACAGGAGTTTTTGTGGGGCTGGTTGCAAAAGTAGCTTTTTTTAACATCAAATAAAAAAATTAAAAAAAGATGTTTAGAAATACCCAAAGGAAGTGACTAATTTATTCTGAATAGCCATGTATTTTTCAAGAGTGATTTATGATGCACAACATCTGGGAATGATGACATAGTTAGAATAAGTTTTATTCAGCCATGTTGTTTTCTTAAATCTTGCTCAGAGACTCAAAGGTGTCAGCGCCATGACATTTTTGTTCTTCTTCCTGTGTAAACAGTGATGTCAAAGCAAATGCGTTTTAAGAATCCGGCTCATCATGTGTTCGTAACCTAGAAACAATCTTAGGTGTTTTGTTTATTTTTCACCAGTAATCTGATTTTCATCTGCTTCTTCTGCTCAATGCCAGCCTCAGGTATGAATGCAAAGCATTTCTGTTTATGGGGAATGGAAATAGATTCATATTTTTCTCTTTGTGTGAGGAGTGTAGCCATCGGGGAATTGCATTCTTGGAAACGCCTTGTTGGTTTGTTACTGGAAGTCAGATCCTGCTCACGTTTTTACCCGAGGAACCAGATTAACGAGAATTGGTCTAACTTTTTTTTATTGCCTCATCTCCTGCTTTCATGTTACACCCTGCAGAATTAAAAAAAATTAAAAAACACAAAAAACCCCCGCAACTTTTCATAATATAAAATTTCTTTGAAGTCTTATTTGGTCTTTAGTCTTTATATTTGCTAACTTGTTATATTTGTACAATGTATTGAGTGATGCTGTCATTTTTTCCCTTGCATTGACAAGAATATTAACCGGAACTTCAAATGTTTCTTGTTAATTTTTCTCTCCGTTTGCAGTCCCACCTAAAATTATTCAGCCCCGCACTCAAAATTAGGCTTGTTGGCAAAATCCAAATAATAAACTAATTACACGAACAGATGAGCTTGTACATTGTGTTGCACATTTTTGTTGCACATTTAAAACAATCAGATGTAAGTTAAATTTATGGAAGGACGCATAAAATTAGAACCTTACATAGATAAAACATATAATAGGATTTTAGTGAAATTCAAGACTTCAGACATACTTTAAATAGGAAAGGTTTGACAATAACATTTCATTGCATGTTACAAAATGGCTCAAAATAACAATCATTGAGTTACAGAAG